TACTGATTACTATTTCAGACATGCCAACCCTACAAGGCCAACAAGAGGAGTCTGAAAAACTGGTTCACGTCTGCGTATTTCGAACATCAAATACATTGCAGTTAGCGCTCTAGTATTCTTATTATATCTCTATGGTTTTACTAGATTGTTGTTACGAAATCAGTAGACCATGAAACACCAAATCAATTTGGCCAATGAAATTTCTTTTTTCGAAATCAGTAGACCGTGGATCACGAATAAATTTTTCGTATACAGTTCAGAGTGCAACTTTGACAGTGACTTGGTCAATGAAATTGGTTTTTTCAAAATCAATAGACCGTAGAGCGCGAATTACTATTTCATACAGTTCAGAGCGCTGTTTTCAGGACGAAATTAAATGGCCTTGTTCTTATCTAAATCACAGGATTATCATTTCTATTCAGAAATGCGCAATTTAATTCAGCTGGCCAAAATGTGTAAAAAGCGGAGATTTTCGACCCAAAATCGGATTTTAGTAAGGCAGTAGAAAATTCCTGAGTTTCATATCTGCAACTCTGGGACAAGCCTTGTCCCAGCTCTAGTCTACAGGCTATAGTATAGAGCTGGGAAAAAATATTCAAAATTTGTCCAACTTGTTTAGCATTCAAGCTTAGAAACACTGAAAGCATTTATGAGAGCAAATATGATCTTTACATTACTGTTCCCTTGACAGAAATCCTGATATTTAAAGTGTGGTTGGCAATATTGCAGATCAATCTCAATAGGCTTGAAATATGATCCATATTTTGGAGCACATTTTTCAGTATGATGTAATCAGTGCGATCACATGACACTTGTTTACATGTTTTCAATCAATTAAATCACTAATCTACATATTTGTTGAAATCTACGGAAGGTGTGAAATGGAATGGCATTGTAAATTGTAGTTTTGTTTTTTTTTACTAGATTACCTAATTAATCTATCTAGCTGGATGTTAACTAGGCTATTAAGATAATCTACATTCAATTCCAATGAAGAAAAGATTTAACAAAAATTAGGTTTACATTGTTTTTACTCAATAATGTATAAAAAATCTTTAAATTTACCAGTCAATTTTAGGATGTTAATATAGGAACATTAGGCCCAATAAAACCAGAGCCTTGCAGGCGTCAACGTTCCTATGCATGATACATGACTTAAAAAGTATATAGGCCCTATATATATATATATATACATGTATATATATACGTACATATATATACACATATATACACACGTATACACGTATACGTATACACACACACACATATATATATATGTATATACGCGAGCGTGTACATATATACGCGTGTACAGTACCGGACAGTTTTATTGCAAAAATTCAACGCATTCAACCCGTTGCGTTTTCGTTGACAACGCGTTGGCGTTTTCGTTGGCGTTGTCGTTGAAACTGTTGACATCGTTGAGAGCTCAGAAATAGTTTATTCTGAATTCAACGCAAAGCGTTGAATCGCATGGAGTTAGTGAAAAATGGAGATCTAAATGAAAAAACGATGTATTTCAGCAAGTATTAAAACCTTTTTGTTTTATTTTAGGCCTTCTTCAAAATACTTATGCCACAGCAGTTGATTTTTTTTGCCGTAAAACCAAAATAGTTTCATGCATGCCGACTTGCCGATCAGTTAGCGTGAGCCCTGACTGAACTCTGCAGAAACTTCACATCGAACTTCGCATCGCGATGTAAAACAAAATGTCGGAAAACTTTTCTTTGACGCATGCACATTTGCATAAATGTCTACACACACACACTACACACAACAAAAAACAAAAGAAATGACTAAGAGTGATTACAATAGTTCCTATTGCATTACATGCATAGGAACTAAAAAGTATTAGTTTATCACCCTCGCGCGCATGCCTTCTATGGTACTGGAAAAACAATTTTTTTTAAAATGTTTTTTAAAATTTTATTTATTTATTTTTTTCATTTATTTTATTAAATAGTTAGTAGATATTGTTTGCATTAAAATCATGTTTTACTTTGAATATCAATGCACCAGCAAACAACCCAAGGGTAATATTTGGCTTCAGCAAAATAAAAAAAAAGCCTCCCTCCCTCATCACTTTTCCTGCCCAGATAGGGTGATAAACTAATAATATTTTTTATAGGGCCTTATACAGAACAGTGTTCTTGTTATTGACGTTAGTTCAAAATCCTTAGTGTTAAAAAGTGACAGTTTAAAATATTTAATTTTATTTATTATAGCTCAACGTAAAATACAGTGTCTTCAATGCGATCTCGATTCATTTTTTAATTCTATAAAAACGACACTGACCACCTACAGTGATGTAACTCAGTTGGTTCCCCATTGCACATAAACCAGAATGATTGAAACTGCTCTCAAAAAGTGTTCCAACTCTCATTTTCTCAACAGGAACTATCTCCATGGTAATCACCATGGTAACATTTAACAGCTGCCATACTAATGGAATGTAATAAATCAAGGTCAAATTCCATCAAAGGTCAAATATTATATTGAAAATTACTGTAGCTGGTATAGCAGTAAGCAAACAACGTAAATACAGGATTAAATCATTACCAAGCAAATTTATCTTTTGCAAATTAACTGTGGCATCCACACGTTTAATGTCATAATTTTCAAGTAACTCGTCACTCACATCACGAACTAACACAACCAAAGTAGATTGTGTTAGTTCGTGAAATCACAGTAGCGCGTCAAAACGAGCGCATATTTGTTGTCAAACAATTTTGTATTCTTTACCACACAAAAAGTCCTTAACAACAACAGCGCGTATTTTTACGGTCTATCTTGATTTCACGAACTAACACAATCTAATTTGATTGTGTTAGTTCGTGATGTGAGCGACAAACTGGTTAAAGACATGAGCACATAAATCAACCAAAGCAATCAAACAGGACACTGTAACACAGCGGTGACAATTGACTTACTGTAGGCATAATAGAATGAATAAAGACTGACTGATTGGAGATAGACTTTACTGATTTGTTTTTATTGAAATTACCTTTATTCAACTTGTTCGCCAAGACCACAGACCCAAAATCATTAAAGAAATTCCATGCAAAATACAAAAAAAATCATAAAAATAAATTTTGAAATTAACTTGCTCATTTTGAAGTAATTATCAACTTGAACATAGACATTAGTGTATTAAAAAAATTTTACCCTTAATTTTAAAGCAAAAATTGACAAAAACTTATTATTTTTATAATATCATTATCCAGTATAAAAAAAAATCAGGGTACACATTTTTTAAATTGAATAATTGACTTACTGTAGGCATAATGGAATGAAAAAAGACTGACTTATTGGAGATAGACTTTACTGATTTGTTTTTATTGAACTTACATTTATTCAATTTGTTCGCCAAGACCACAGACCCAAAATCATTAATGAGCAAGTAAATCTGAAAATTTATTTTTCATTATTTTTTTGCCATTTTTTAGGGGAAATTTTTTGTTTTGTTTTTGGGTTTTTTTTTTTTTTTTTTCACTAAACCTGCAGTCCAATAGACCCAATCTATATTTGTAGTAAACCTAGCCCTGTAGTTAAAGCCAGGCTCTAGAGAAAAAAAAAATTGCTGTTGTTTTGCTAGTCTTAGGATATTTCTCGGTTTATATTTTTCTGCTTCCAAGACTTTGCATTTCACGCGCATAGAGACTATTGTAATATGCGCTTAATAAATATACAGTCATTACCATTACCATTGTACAACTAATTTCTCTAAGACACAAAAAGCATATTTGACAAAAAACTCGGAAACATTTTATAAAGATTTTTGAATATTTAAAAAATTGGGGGGAAAAGGTGGAAAAATGGGTGGTTACACTCCTTTTTCCCCCAGGTTTTTAAATATTTAGACATCTGTATCTGTAAATTCTGACTGACTCGGACTTTCAAGTGGCACTGTGCTACTTAAATTTATTTAAATTTTCTTCATGTTTACTACTGTCCTTAGGTTTGAACTTTACCAGGCATGAGCAATTTAACATCTGTAGACCTTATGATGAAGATGGAGTTCCTGGGAGGGCTGATGCTCAGGGCCTTTTACTCCAAATTCCTGTCACAGGTTACTGGTTTTATGGTTTATTGAAATTGAGGGGTCAAAGGATGTCACAAGGAAAAGGTCAATACACTTCTTGGATGCAAGCTGGTCCTGATTGCTCAGATGCTTTCTTATTTTTTCCACTATTTGTAAGTTTTGTTTTCATTCAACAGGCCTACATTTTTACACTCTGAATAAATATATTAATTAAAAATACAATGTGGTATTCACCAGGGGGTCCAAGATGGAAGAAGTCATTTATAGGAGATCGTGGCAGGTCCAGAAATTCGGAATTGGGGTGGGGGGCAGGGAGGCACTTCACAGATTCAAGGGTATAGGCCTACCACCTCAGCCCCACCGTGGTTGGGGTTGAGTATGATCATAGAGGGAAAAAAATGTCTCTATGGCTGCTGCAATCTAGGCTAGACCTAGTCTAGCCCCTAATCTGAATTTACTATATTTATTAGTAAGTACTAGCCTAAACCTAGGCCTAGGCATAGGTCTATTATTTTTGTGCAAACAAAATACAACCAATAAATGTGATGAAAGTAAAGCAAAATATTCATACACCTAGGCCTAGGCCTCTCTCAGGCCCAGAAACACACATACCACATGCCTGGTCTGGCCCCTTTTTTTAAGCAAAAATGGCAATTGCTGAGAAAAACACACCTGATTGAAACAGCATGAAAGTAGACTAGGCCCTAGGCCTAGAATCCCTAGGTAGGATTCTACACATAACTCTAATAAACTAGCTAGGCCTATGCCTAGACGAACAATGTTGCAACTGACTTGGTAGAGTGACAGTTTTGCTACCCCTGCTTGCAGAAATGAGGCATTTTTGGAGGCAGATGTCATCTGAGATGATGATGGTGAACGTTTGGTAGTAAAGATTCCTTGAAAATTCACTATCAAATTACAATACAAATCACTCCAATCCAACCAATACTAAACTCACCTGAATGCAATGTACCGAAATATAACTTTAACAATTAACATCCACAGGTAGATACCAGGAATGTAATGGATCAATTTCTGATGAAGTTAGCGAACATTCCTGACGTTAAGTTATTGTAAGCCAGTCCTCATTAAAATGTGCGCGGTCAATCTCTGCAGCCTTCTACCATTTCCGTTCTAAAAAAGTGGTATCAAAACAACAGCAAACTTCTCAACTCTGATCACAAACGAGCGCCGTATAGGTGGTAAACTATAGAGGGAGACATTCAACTTTTTAAACCAGTGATGAAGAAGGACTGAGGGAAATTAAATTTAAGATTTTGTTTGTCAGAGTGCTGTTATGCAGGAGCGCCGGCAAGAAGGGGAAGAGGATGGGAAAGGTGGGGACGGGATCGGTGTCAATAAAGGCGACATTAATTTTGGAAGACTTAAAATTAAAAGGTCGTAAATGGTGAAGAAAATTTACATATTAACTGCCTTATGATTTTGATTTTTTGATTTTATATTAATGAAAGATATGCTCCTGAAAGGTTTTGCAAACAATATTTTTGGGAAATATTGCATATAAGCAATCAATTGTTTTTGCGTGGTTTCAATACAGATTTCACAAGAATTTACTCGAGCAGTGTCAGAGAGGCACTCTTGGACTCAAAATTTGAGTAGAATTTGATTTTTTTTTTTTTTTTTTTCTCAATTTCTTTTTTTAATTTTGAAAAATTTAGGGGCCCCTTGAATCCGCCACTGAAAGACCCTATGTAGTATAATAATAATAATAATGTTATATTTATATAGCGCATATTGCGCATTGCCCCTACGCGCTATGCTATGTAGTTGATTTGTCTAACTTGTCTTCTCGGCATAAACCTAAAGAGCATGGACTAAGAAGTGACTACGCCAGGTTGCCCGGCAAGTTGGCCCACTGCACATATACAAATCCTGACCATTTCGTTGGAGAGAAAGAGACTATGCAAACTTACAGTGCGGTGTGCTATTATAACGATTTTTAACTTCTTTTGAGTTCGTCGGCCTCCTAAATCCAAGTAGAGCTTCAGCTCCGTAAAGTAACGTTTTGAGGATACACGACATACGATTTGTTTTAAAATATTTTTGTGCTGGTGAAAACAGGAACAAAATTGAAACTAACCAATGTATTCATTTTATCTTATTTATTCCTTCACCAATATTTTGTGAGGGTGATCCATCAGCCGAAGCTGATCATGTGGACCCTCAACTACATACAAGCAAATTAATACAATATAAAACCACAATATTTAAAACAATAACTACGTTTATATAAAAATTATATTTATTATTATTTAATCTGATATATTAAAATACTGTAATATAAATTGATATAGTGATAAGCAATTGTTAATACTACAAATAATACACTGTAAAAAAAAATAAAAGCTCTAAATGAATGGAGAAAGAAGTGGAAGGAAGAAATGTAGAAATAGTTAGATCAGTGAAAAAGATTACGTTACCTTGAATTTCGTTAAATGAGTGAGATATAGCACTTGGACATTCATTGGAAATGAGCAGGCTTAACAAATTGGGTCATTAAAGCTGAATGAGACTTAATAAGTTCTAAGCTCTCTTTTGGGTTTTCAGGAGCGGCAGAAATCTATATACATCCCCAGCTAACAATATTCCCGTTATAAAAACGTTTTCGGTATTTTTTAGAACCATAAATACGTATACGACGTAATTTCACAATCGTTTGAACGGTCCTGCAAAGTTGTGTGTGAGTAGGCCTACACGTTATTTTGTGACATAATACGTATAATCCAATGAACTTTCCAGACGTCAATATGCATAGATTTACTTTTTAGATCATTGAGACTTAGTTAATCTGTTAGATTTTAGCCAGATAGAGAGAAATTAGACAGCAGAATAAATATGCTATCCCACTTATATAGGCCTACATGTCATCTGTGTTAAGAAGTACAAAGTAAATCAATAGCATTGATTTAGATACAGGTGAGAAAGGATAGATCCTAGAGGAACCTGGTAAAACAGAATAAGAGGAAGACAGTGTTCGAGCAAAGATGACTGGTTGGCAACGACCGCAGTGAGTAAGACTAATTTCATGAGGATATTGTAGTTGAGGGTGTCAAATGGATAAATTTTTTTTAGATAAATAAACTAAGTATATACTTATTTGAATTAGGCCTTTTTTGTTCTTTCTTTCTTTCTTTCTTTTTCTTTATTCAATTTATTGCAACACACAAACAGATGAAAAAGGGAAGCAAAGGGACAGGTTCCATAGACTCAAGGTCCAAACAAAGGGAAAACGTCCAGGACATAAAACATACAATATTAATTTGTTGAAATAAAATAGAAAAATTTGGAAAGGAGACATATAAAAATGGAAATAAAAACAGTCAAGGGTTTCGCAGTGCAGACCTTCCAGCAAACACCAGAAAAATTATAGATTGTTTGTTTTTACTTTAATGTTAAGTATTTTGAAGCCAGTTAATCACGTGTGTTTGTCAGTTCAGTAAGAGTAGAATTATATTATTATATCTGATTTAAAAATTACTGAATTCAGTTATTCAGATGCATGATGCTACATAAGTCAACCTTGGATACGGGCATGCGCAGTTCAAACTACGAATTGACTTATTTAATTACAGTACATACCGTAAATCTTTGCGTTGCATAGGCCTACATACAGTTTTATTTTTCAAGGTAAATCGTGTTACAGTACTTACAATAATTATTTAAAGTTTAGTATACCGCGGTACTATGAAGAAATAGCTTAATTATGTAACGTCAACACCTTCAAAATGCATTGGTATTGACAAATCAACTGCTACTGTATGTAATATATGTAATATATATTTAATTTAATCTTAAATTCACGAAAAGCCAGTGGAATGATGATATAAGTTGATTTATGAACTTCTCCAAGTATTCGTTCAAGATGTTAGTCATCCAATGTTTTATCTAATATAAGAAATATCGATATATGGTTTAATCAGTAAATATAAGTATTTCCTTAAAGCAATTCAGTTTAAATGTATAAAAACAGTTATTTAGACACGTTTTTTTTTTTAATCTGCAAACACTTAAATAAACGCAACACAAACAAATGTTGCCTGAGTGGTCTGCGTTTTTTCTGAAAACATAATCTTGAAGGAAGCCTTCATTGTTCTACTAATCATATATGTCTGCTGTCATCTGTAAAATATACATTTACTACTGCTTCTACTACTACTAACTACAAACTACATTTCTTTTTATCGTTAGGCCTATTTTGTTATTCTTATGGTGACAGGTTTAATCAGTAGCAGCTGATAATAAACGTATTCATATTGAGTGCTATTCAAAATAAGTTACTCTCAAACTTACCACAAACAAATTTAGGATCTGGTTCAACTGAAATGAAAATTAGTGAAGATGGTTATTATCTTGACCTCAGTATATCTGCACTTCACTCTACCGCCCTCACATTATTATAAAGTGCTTGTAGAAAACATGAGGCCGTTTTTAGATAATACAATATCTTTATGTTTTGTAAACATATAAACAAGTGATACTACCTTGGTGCGGCTACAGCTGCTGGCACTACTAGTACTACAGGTAGGCCTACTACTATTACTACTACTACTACCAATGCTGTAGCTAACTACTGGGACAGTCCCACACATTTTTCTAATGGGTCCACAAAAATGGGTACACATTTTGAAAAATTGGTCCAAATTATGCAATTTTCATAAAATGGGTCCACTTTTTGAAAAATGGGTCCAGATTTTCATATTTAGCCTGAAGTGGGTAAATTTTTTTTTTAAATTGGTCCAAATTTTTTATATTTTTGAAAAATATTTGTTCATATAAAATGGATCGAAGAAAATAAATCCATTATATTAATTTATTCGTGAACAGTGGCGGCGCCAGCGGGGGGGGGGGGGGCAAAGGACTTAAGCCCCACCGGACAGGTCAAGCCCCACCGCCGGACAGAGCTCGTCGGGCAGTCAGACCATAAACATATAAAAATATGTTGCTGCTAATACTACTACTAATATTAATATCACAAGTACATTTCCTTTCATTTTGCAAACATAGGTCTATTTTGTTATTCGTATGGTGACAGCCGATAATAAACGTACGCTGTATGCTATTCAGAAACCATTTAGTCTCAAACTTACCACAAACAAGATCAGGATCTGGTCTAAAACGCTTAGCTGAAATTAAAATCAATGAGGATTGTTATCGCCTCGACTACATCATTATAATTACCCTTTACTACCGCCCTCACATTATTATGGTATTAATGTATAACATTAGTCTGATTTTTGAGCTATAATTATAATAACACCTGGTTGCATTGGGAGAGCGGTGGTTGTGTTGGGGAGGGGTGCAAAAGACAAGGGCTTTGACGACGAAGGTGCCTACCCCATGTTGGCAAAACCTCAGCATTTTGTCGGGACGACAAATCTCAAAATATACTAAAGAATTTATGCCTTATTATGATTACTATAGATGTCATATACCACGTAGAAAATCTAATATATTCATGCTAGGCTTACGTACCACATGAGCCACAAAATTTGGGACAAAGCTTGATAGTTGGCTGATAGTACCTGCACTGCGGACAGTACCAACCACGCCCACAATACTTAGATCTGTCCTGACATGAATCTAAGAAATCAAATCAAAGTTTATTTTCTTTCTGAACACACACCCACACATGGCATACAATCATGTGTTCAAATTTCAAAATTATGTTTGCTACGTAGCACAGTAAGCACAATATATTAACAAGTGGATAAAAAAAAAAATGTGCTCAAAAATAATAACCTGCAACTACTCGCTGTCGGGGCCAGTGTCATATCCAATAGAATAGACCACATAGACCTATAGGACATAAGTACATATTTAACCTCGAGGCAATTGAGATTAGAATAAACAGCCTAAACAAGTAAACAGGAAGGCCAAAACTAAACTTTAGAGGCAAGCCTCAATAAATAAGCCAAATGATTTATCTGATGATGATATGATGATATATATGTATATATATATAAATCATCAAAGAAAGGTAAACACAGTGTTCGAATAAAGGACATAATACATACATACATATATATATATATATATATATATATATACATATATACATACATACATACATATATATATATACATACATACA